TTATCTCGTGCCCTCATTGGTCATGTGCGCGTTCGTGTGTGTTGGAGGAGGGGCTCTGTAAGGAAGTCTGAAGGAAGGGGCAGATTATTTTCGGCTGCGTACTTTCAAATTCTAGCGCTCTCGAGCTGGTTTCTCCATTCTTACCTACCCTACCTTTAAGTAGCTAAACTAATTTTAATGTACATTTAAAGATAAGTAATGAGATCCTCTAGGCTGTATTCCTGTAGTTTTACATTTAACATATTAAATCTGTTGCACTCTCAATTAAATATGAGTTAAGGGAAGACTTTAAGGTCCAACTGCTTGTTCCTTAGTTTCCTAAAAGAGTAGAAATCTGGATTTATCTTGAATATTTTCACATCTTATGATTAAGCAGAGGTAATTTATAACCGAGGGGAGATGCACTTGTTTCACTTAGCAGTTATAATGTGGCATCTCTATTTAGCTAGCATGCTAACATTTGCTTATCAGCACTACACACTGAACAGTTGTGTGTGTGCAGGAATTTAATTAGTTTTGCAGTCCTAGTGGTGGTGCTAAAGGAAAAGATTGAGGATCGTCAAATTGACTAGGATTTATCTGCGGGGGATCATGAATGTCAGTAGAAAACTAAATGGCAACATGTCCAATCGTTTTTTGCATATTTGTGTTGACCAACGTTTTGGATTGACTACAATTGCTGACTCGGTAGTCGAAGCTAAAATGACTAAATAATCAAATGTGCGTCATTGTGTTTATCAGCTGTCTTACCTCCAGCTCCAAAGAGTCAGCAGGCACTTCAGGACTCCGGCTCAACGCCATGGCCTTCTGTCTGGACTCTGCTTTGGGCTCCACCTTCGCGGCTGGTTTGGCCACGATGGCTTTGGCCTCCTCTGGCGTTGGTGCTGGTTCAGGAGTCGGTGTAGGTTTTGGGGACGGAGCTGGGCTCGGCTGTCGTCTCGGTAACGGCTTTGTCTCTGCTCTGCTGGCCGGCCTGCTCGCCTCTCTCGCCTCCACTTTGTTCTCAGAGACGGACGGCGCTCGTTCCTGGACTGATGGAGCTCTTGCAGGTTTGACCTCGATGGTTTTAGGCTCGGGGGTGGCGGCTCGTGATGGCACTTTGAAGGCGGGGCGCGGCTCTTCTTCTTCATCTTGAGAGATGAGGCTATTCCTTACAGAGGCAACAGGTGCAGAAACAACATCTGGAGCTGGTTCCTCTGAATCAAACTTCTGCAGGGGCTTTATCTCCAGGTCTGATCCCTGCTCGTTCTTGCTGCTCTGACGGCTGGGGGTGCGAGAAGGGCCACGACTACCGGGGGCCTCTGTGCTCTCAGGTGCAGCCGTGGTGGGGGCAGAGGTTGCTGGGGTGGTGGGGCGGCTGCTGGGTCTGCTGTTGGACTTACTGCTGCCCTTACTGCCTCCACTTTTAATGGATTTGTCTTCGTTCCAGCTTCCTGGACTGAGGAGCTTGGGGTCTTCCTTGCTGATGATGCCTGGGCTGGGGGAGGGGGTGCGCGTTGGGGAAGAGCCAGGCATGAGGTTGTCCAGTTCATTCATGAGGGGGCTCTCTGGTGGCGTGGGCAGGGGCTCCTCCTCCGCCAGTAGAGGCTCATGCATGATGGTCTCGGTGGTCTCACTTCCCTCGATGCTCTCATGTATCACTCTCTTCTTCAGATACTCAGGACCTGTGGGAGACCAGGATGTTAGAGACAAGATAAGATAGAACTTTATTGATCCCAATTTGGGAAATGTTGGTGTTGCAGCAGCAGAAAAGACATGGCAGTGTACAATACAAATGAAAAAAGACTAGAAATAAACAAGAAAGTAGAAAATATACATGTTGAATTTGCAAATGAACAATAACGAAACATAAGTATGTGAGGGATGGAATATTACATATTAAACTGAATATATAAATGTAAAATGTAGAGTGAGATTTTAAGTCCAAGAGAAGCTATGGAGCAGATATTAATATGTTAGACCGTAGGACAGTTATACACACTTTACCTTTTTTTACAACAAACCATGGGATAATATTGACTAACCAGATCATGACTTCTAGAAAGAGACGTTGCTTTTACTTTTTTTGAATATCCTTTCAGTGCTTTGAGGCTCCTATTTGACCAGATCCCATGAAAAGCCTTAAACCAATGCATTAAAGCCCGCGTCTCAGAGTTATTTTGAATTCATGTTTACTTCTGCGGCTGGTCTTTAGCTGTATAATTCCAGATCCAATGTGTCCCTTTTAGACACACAATCATGTAATAGCTGGACTTAATTAAT